GGGGCGTGGCGTAGGGCGCGGTCTCAATGGCGGCTGGGCGCGGTTGCAGGTGCTGACGGCCGTGAAGCGCAGCTGGAACGCGCTGCGCAACCGGGAGGGGCGCGGCCTGGGCGCAGCCAGCGGCGACCGGCACTCGTCCAGCTCCCAGGGGCTGCCGTCGGTGGGCGGCGACACGCTGACGCACAACAGCACGGTGACCAATGCGCCCAAGTCGCCGCCCCTGGAGACCAACTGCTGACGCCGCCCGATGTGATCTTGCCCCCACCCCTATCAACGAATAGCCCAGACGCTGTCTGGGCGCTTTTGACAGTATTAGCGCGCATATGTTAATTTATTTGTTTCTGCCTCTATGTGTTAAGTTTGTACCAAGGAAATTATATATTTTCGTAACTTTGTCTTAAATGGTGTTGATTGAATGGACTTAGGGCCTCCAGCGCGACGTTGCCACATGCACCGGGGCCCGACTTCCGGTGTATCCTGTGGGATCTGTGCATTGGACACGTGTCACTGTCAATAGTTGACCGACGCCATTTGTTCCATGTCTGTCGACGTTGATTATTCGCTATCATCCAAAGAAAAAGCCGATTTTATTCATCTCTGGCGATATAATCTGTGATAAGTTGTATGATTTCGTGCCTCATGCTTCCTGCACATACTGGATTGTGATATGTTTCCCCATGTTCTCCAATACGTAATTTGTGAATATTTTGTTGGGTAAGTCGAAATCACTTAGCTTATTATTCAGGTGGCATTTTCATCAAGAAACAAATAAATGGGTAATGCTTTACGATGCGATCTGGTACTAGGATTGCCGCTTTGCCGATTAAGACTATGCTCACCTTATAGAAAATCTCGTAACAAACAATATTTTTCGTATAAATTTTCCGATTAATTTGATATTTCAAACGGCTCGCTGCAATCAGCTGGGTCCCGCCAAAATTACGCCCACAATCATATGTATGAGCCTATCAGTTTCGTCTACTATTTCCTGTATGGACGTAATTCTGCTAAGTTTTCAACCTTGAATGAATAACTTTTTTGTTTTGATTGAAATTTTCTACTTTGGTGGCAGTTCGGCAACATGGCTGACCAGTATGCAATGTTTGGCTGCGCGTACCCTGCGTGCAGGCATGTGCGCGTG